CTAGTCTATAGTCTAGTCTATAGTCTAGTCTAGTCTAGTCTAGTCTAGTCTATAGTCTAGTCTATAGTCTAGTCTATAGTCTAGTCTATAGTCTAGTCTATAGTCTAGTCTAGTCTAGTCTATAGTCTAGTCTATAGTCTAGTCTAGTCTAGTCTATAGTCTAGTCTATAGTCTAGTCTATAGTCTAGTCTATAGTCTAGTCTATAGTCTTGTCTATAGTCTAGTCTATAGTCTAGACTATAGTCTAGTCTATAGTCTTGTCTATAGTCTAGTCTATAGTCTAGTCTATAGTCTAGTCTATAGTATAGTCTATAGTCTAGTCTATAGTCTAGTCTATAGTCTAGTCTATAGTCTAGTCTATAGACTACACACGGCTGGCTCAAAACTGGCAGACATATACTTATGCAAATAAAACTTGCCGTTTTATTTGCATATTTTATTTGATTGCACTCTAGCAATTGTTGTTTTTCTGTCTGAAAACCAACCGCTTTTTTACTCCCTACGTGTAAGTACTTATTTAAGTAGTTACTTGTAAGCGTGGTAAGTTTTTGCCTGCCATATCGTTACCGTGTTAAAATTTTGAGCTAAAATTCTTAGGGAGAAGTAGTTAAAAGAATCTCTTTTTAGCTTTTCAACTCATTACTTTTCAATGTAAGTTTTTGGTGGGTGTTTAGACTTTTGGCCAAAATCTCAATAATATGAAAGCTTTTTATATCGCTTCCTGGTATTGTGTTTAAATAGAAAAACTGATAAAAAGGAGTATTTTTGCTTTTACCCCCAGATTACACTATTTAACGAAAGTCAAACCGTACTAATAATTATGACTTCTCACATTACATGATTATTAATTAAATTCGAATAATAGCGTGGGGATTTCAAGAAATTACTATGTGTTTTTGTTTTTAAAAATATATGTTTTTCTCTTATTTTACAAAATACATAAAAGAAAAAAATAATAAATCGTAGTTATTAAGAAATAACTATACTACTTGACTGCGTATTGTATTCTAGACCACCTGCTGTTTCAAACTAAAGTAACTTCCTTTCTTGGGTAGTTATTGTGAAAAAATGTTTTCGTTATAAAATCAAAATAAACAAATATACATACATACATATATATTTTATAAAAATTCCCTAGAATTTGATAAATAACTGGAAAAATGTTTACAATGTTGATTTAAAATTAAATATATATATTAAATTTTATATAATAATTTTTGGGTGTTTTTCATCTTAACTGAGGTTTATAAATAGGTTATTTAAATAACAAATTTCATAATTTTTCTTGGGGAATATTGAATTTTTTTTTTTAAGAATTTTGATAAATTAAACAGGGCAACAACATTTGATGAAATAGAAACCCAGTGCCATGTTTACGAGATATCGTGTCATAAAGATACTATTATCTGAACATTTTGTTATGCCATCCGAAAGTTTAATATATCTTCTTCCTTTCTTGAGATTAGGTTACAATATCTCAAAGAAGGAGTGAGAGATTAAGCCGTTATTCTAAAGTCCATAGATTGAACTTTGGGATGACAAAACAAATTTATATAATATTTATTTGTTGGTAAAAGTAATTTGTAAGAACAAATATAATTTATTCTGAGAGATATCTCTTCTCTATGAGGCCACTCATAATTTACCACTTTAACTCGAAAACTAACCCTCTATTCGTTTTTTTTTTTTTTGTCTGTAAAACATTGATTTTCTATATAAATATCTACATTTTTATTTAATTATATATTTATATATTTAAGAATTTTAAACAGTCTTTTTTGCTAACAAATCCTGTGTATAATATATATATATTTTTTTTAATTTGTTGCTTTTATGGTATAATTAATTTCGTTTTAATATAAAAAAGTAAGAAATTATTTATTTGAAGCTTATTATTTTTATAAGGATAAATTATGTGCAAAAATGTTTAAGTTAATTTGATTTTTATTTTTCTGTTATACTTACTAGTGGAAAAAAAACTTTATTAATAAAATTATTATTTAATTTAAACTACAAGTTATTAAACTAGACGATGTTGAGAATGATGAGTGATTTCTTTAAACATTTCCAATTACATTAATTTTAGAAGTTTCTGAATATAATTTAGAAAGTATTTAAAAATTTGGCAATGAACTGTAATGACTTGTACCTACATAACCACTTAATTTTCAATCCATTACTTTTGAGTACTCTTATAATGACTTTTATAAGACACGTAACTACATATTTAAGTAGTTATTTTTTAAGCGTGTGTGGTAAGTACTTGCTTCCAATAACATCACCGTGTTAAAATAATGAGTTAAAATGTTAATTAAGAAGCTAGTTTAGTTTTTGAACACATTACTTTTCTATGTAATTTTTTGCTGGAATCGGTTCCACATTACTTCAATGAAATATATATTTATTTTGAACCGTTTTACAACAAAAACTTTCTAGACAATGAAGTATTTAAAAAAAAAATTTTAAACTGGGTATAGAGACAAGTATATTAGGACTGTTTGTTTGTTAGGACATTATAGACAGCTAATCAGCTGGACCGATTTCTATGAAATTTGCACAGTGTCTTCCTGTATGTCTGCAAGGAACTATCGGCTACTAAACTTCAAAATAAGTATTAAAAGTCACATATCTCGGAAACTGCAAGAGCTAGAATCAAATTTTGTATGGACAACTTTGACATCCATATGTAAAGTGGGCGTGTCACCTCCCATATATTTGAGAAAATGGTATATTTGAGAAAATATAATAACTAGAGTCCGGAGCTAGAGGGCGAACTTTCATATGCAGGTCTTGGCACCTCCCGGAATGAACATAAAAATTTGTATATCTGAGAAACTATTAGAGCTAAAATTTTGCTACGAACTACTGTGGCATTCATGTGAACATTCGGGAAATTGGTGGATTCGATTTTAGGGGCGTGGTACCTACCATATAAAGTAAATTCAAAAATTTGTTAATCTAGGAAACTATTGGAGCTAGAATCTTAAAATTTTGTACGATGAATTTTAACATCTATTTGATCATTTGGGAGAAAAAAAGGACGGATTTTTATTAGGGGGCCTGTCACCTCCCATATGAATTAAATATAAAAATTCGTATATCTGGCTAACTGTTAGAGGTAGCAAAGCACACTGGGTATAGCTAGTGTCTATATAAATTTGCACCGAAATTCATATTGAGATAAACGTCAGAGTAGTTTTCTGAAAGGGACTTGCAGCATATAATGATAAGAGACGCGACATAATCAAGTTTTATAAGCACCGAAATCTTTATACAATATTTTATAAACATCGGTCTATAATAGACCCTACCCTTCATGTAAGGTCCCCTTTAGAAAATGAATTTAACGTTTATAACGGTCTAACAATATGTTTTGTAGTAATCAAAATCACTCTACCAAGTTTTTTTTAGATTCGGTCCATAATTGATGGTACCGCCTATATAAGGTTCTATTCAGAAAATTACTTTAACAGACATAAAAATGTCAGTATAGCAATGAGAATAAAAGTATCGAGTTTTACATCAACCGAAATCTCTATTCCAATTTGTATATACTATATCAGAGATGGGTCACCCTAATGTTATGTATCTTGCGCACAGACAGACGGCTAGGTAAATATGGTTTAGCTGGTTGTTAGTTTTAAAGGAGAACGTATGTTACGTCAAATCAGAAGAAATATATCTAGGCTTCTATTCGGCCTGTTGTGCACTCGTTCATAAGTGTCTTTGGTGGGAATCGAAGCCACTAGCTCCGGTCTGATAGACTAGAACACTAACCGCTAGCCTACCGAAGGTACAAACATTGACATAGCTTACTCGACTATGAAATTGACTCTGAGCCGATTCTGACATTTCGTGACGTCATCAAAATTGGAAGTCCAGAATGAGCAGTCCACGTCATATAAGACCAAAATTATTTGTAAATGTGTTATTTGTTAATGTCATGTCTTGATCATAAAAAATATATAAATATAAATTTCTGGAAATTACCTCGAGATTTTTGATGATAATTTTTGAATACAGTTGGAAATGGTGTATGAGTTTGAAAATAGAATAAAATGAGCAAAATTATATTTTAAATTTTGTAATGTTTTCAATATCACAGTTTAATAAATGAATAAATTAATGAGTTTTTTTCTGGAACAGAAGCCGAAAAAAAAACTTGTCCACATACCATTTATTCTGTTTAAGACCACTTCATTAAATGTTAATCCGAGAATTAGTTGATGATTTCTTGATTTCATTTACATGTATTTCCCTCAAAGGAATGATATCATAAACAATTCTTTGAAGGATGCTCTATAATGTGAATGAAAAATTCTCGGAATATTCGTGATAAAAATTATTTTCTCAGTTAAAGCTAAAATTGAAAAAGAAAAAATGGAATGAAATGATATGATCGTTTTAGCGGAGCTTATTTGAAATCACTAAATGTTGGCTAATAAACTATTTATCATAAATAAGTGGACCATTTATTTTCGGTTTCCATTAATAATGGTTATTTTTGGTTTTACTTGTATGAAACACATTTTGGTTTAATGATTGTGAATTATCTAAACCAGATTGCAAAGAAATTATATGTTAAAACTATGTAGTGTCCTGCTCTATAGATACACACACATTTATTTAATAAAATAAATGAGAATAAATTTCAACACAAATTTCTAATCAGTATTCTTATCACATACAAACTGAAATTTTATGACAACGAAAAAAAGAAAAATTAAATATTATTTTCTTTAATGTTTCTATCTACAATTGCATATGTATGTGTATTATTAAATACTGTGGTATGTACGTTATAAGTATGATATCATATGTGTATCTATTGTAAGTATAAATATGTGAGTATGTATGTATGTATGAACTTTAAACTTTCAATTATTTACTTAAGTATGTATGTGTATTGCACTATAACTGTTGTTTTACTGTCAGTCCCATCCTTGAAATTGTAGCTGCTGCTGCTGCTACTATATATTTTAAAAATGTCTCTAACAAACTTAACGTCTGGCATACTGACAACATACCGAATTACGTGGTACCCTCTGGGTTGGTAGACCCGAAATGCCCTTCAGATATGTATATGAGACTGGCTGACGTAGTATACGTTGTGGCGGTGGTTTTGTTTTGGTTTTTGAAGAAGACGATGATGAGGATGATGATGCTTTACCCGTTACCGAGGCTGAACAGGATGAAGCTGAACACGAAGAAGTTTTCTTAAGACATGAAGTTGTCGCTGCTGAGGAAGAAGTTTGTGATTTTTTATTGAGTTCTAGGTTAGAGGATGATTTCAAAGCAGATTTAATGGGTGTGCCATTGTTGGTGGATGCCGAAGCCGATGACGTGGGTAAAGTGGGTGGGGGTGTAACACCGCTGCAGGAAAGGGAACGTGATGATAGAGAGAATGCCTCAAAGGCTCGCCTTAAAGAGGTGGTGGAACGTCGGTGAAGGCGCGAAAAACTAGAACGTGCAAATGATTTACGCTCTTTATTGTAAGCATTAGGCTGTTTTACAGCTTCATCAGTATTCTCATTATTATCATCTGCAGCATTCTCATCTGTATTATTGTCACCAGTCTCCTCATCAGTATTCGCCACAAACGAACTATTTACTTTACTAGCACTTTGCCGCTGTTGTTGTTGCAACTGCAATTGCTGCAGTTGTTCATCAATATCAACTGTACTGCTAGTTTCACTCGAGGCACACGATACATACTCACTGGCTGCACAGGCCGCAGTAGAAGAAGAGTTAAGCAATAGATTAGTATCTTTTTTATTGTTATCGCCTGTCGCTGATGATGTTGATGATGCTGCTGATGCTATTGCCGATGAAGGTGGTGTATGCGATGAACACGAATCGGTCGATGAACTTTGATTGTCCTCCTCATTGCTGGCCGTATAAACTAGGTCATCATTTGACCTCAAACCAAAACGTCGACTCAGTTGACGAAAGAAGCCCATATTACGTTCATAACGAGGTATTGGCGAATTGCCACTACAATTGGGTGATATACTGCGGCTGTGATGTATTGCGTCATCATTTAAGGCATCCAGGGGTGTATGGCCTTCTCGAACAGCCGCTGCCACTGGCATATCGGCAAAATATACATGAGTTGTACTCATTGTTATCTAGAAATGTTGCTATTTTTTAAATTTTAATAGATTTTTTTTTAATTCCAATACCTTCTTTTTAATTTATGTATCTATTGTTTTTAGATCTTTTCTAATTTTAATATTTATTTATGCATTTTATTGCATTTATACCGGTATCATGTTTTTTTTTTGTTGTTTTGATTTGCTCTATTTTCTATTTACACTCACTCTTTCTCTTTAGTGTCTGCAATTTGTTTGTATTTATTTCATTTACCGTTACTTTTACTTTATTTTACTTTCATTTAACTTTGTTGTTTTCCTTTTTCACTTTTTTCTCAACCACCACTCACTTTGACTGTCCTTAAAGTACTGAAGGATTTTTCTGCAAGCGGCTTACTTTTATACCACTTGCTCTCTTTTTGTCTTTATGCTACAATTTTTCTCCATTTCTCTGTGTAACAGTTTTTACACATGCTAAATTTTCTGCATACTATGTTTATGTTTTTATTTTGCACTAGTCTGCAAAGTTAATGTGCGTTAAATTTATATTTAGTATGTGTAGAAAAAGTACATTTTGAGTACTTTTTTAGAAACATTAGTAAAAGTACCGCTAACAAAATTAAAAATAGCTATAATTTTAAAACGTTTTGAAGGCTGAGAATATTATATTTATAGGCTTCTAGGGCACATAAATGACTACATTTTCCAAAAACGATATTTATTTAACGTAAATCACTAAAATAGTGGGGTGTAAAAAATGTTCATTAATTTAGCATATGTACACTTTCAATACAAGAAATCCTTACTAACAACTAGATCAAAATCATTTAAAGCATGAAATTTATTCCAATTGGCTTAAGATTACTTTTTGAGTCGATTAATTCCTGCTCGCTAGTGAATATGATCGTTAAAGGTATTTTCTGAATAGGCCTTTATATGGGTGGTAGCATCAATAATGGACCGATTCTCATAAAACTTGGTAGAGTGATTTTACTGCCAACAGACTAACTAACTAACTAACTAACTAACTAACTAACTAACTAACTAACTAACTAACTAACTAACTAACTAACTAACTAACTAACTAACTAACTAACTAACTAACTAACTAACTAACTAACTAACTAACTAACTACTAACTAACTAACTAACTACTAACTAACTACTAACTAACTACTAACTAACTAACTAACTAACTAACTAACTAACTAACTAACTAACTAACTAACTAACTAACTAACTAACTAACTAACTAACTAACTAACTAACTAACTACTAACTAACTAACTAACTACTAACTACTACTAACTAACTAACTAACTAACTAACTAACTAACTAACTAACTAACTAACTAACTAACTAACTAACTACTAACTAACTAACTAACTAACTAACTACTAACTAACTAACTAACTAACTAACTAACTAACTAACTAACTAACTAACTAACTAACTAACTAACTACTAACTAACTAACTAACTAACTAACTAACTAACTAACTAACTAACTAACTAACTTAACTAACTAACTAACTAACTAACTACTAACTAACTAACTAACTAACTAACTAACTAACTAACTAACTAACTAACTAACTAACTAACTAACTAACTAACTAACTAACTAACTAACTAACTAACTAACTAACTAACTAACTAACTAACTAACTAACTAACTAACTAACTAACTAACTAACTAACTAACTAACTAACTAACTAACTAACTACTAACTAACTACTAACTAACTAACTAACTAACTAACTAACTAACTAACTAACTAACTAACTAACTAACTAACTAACTAACTAACTAACTAACTAACTACTAACTAACTAACTAACTAACTAACTAACTAACTAACTAACTAACTAACTAACTAACTAACTACTAACTAACTAACTAACTACTAACTAACTAACTAACTAACTAACTACTAACTAACTAACTAACTAACTAACTACTAACTAACTAACTAACTAACTAACTAACTAACTAACTAACTAACTAACTAACTAACTAACTAACTAACTAACTAACTAACTAACTAACTAACTAACTAACTAACTAACTAACTAACTAACTAACTAACTAACTAACTAACTAACTAACTAACTAACTAACTAACTAACTAACTAACTAACTAACTACTAACTAACTAACTAACTAACTAACTAACTAACTAACTAACTAACTAACTAACTAACTACTAACTAACTAACTAACTAACTACTAACTAACTAACTAACTACTAACTAACTAACTAACTAACTAACTACTAACTAACTAACTAACTACTAACTAACTAACTAACTAACTAACTACTAACTACTAACTAACTAACTAACTAACTAACTACTAACTAACTAACTAACTAACTAACTAACTAACTAACTAACTAACTAACTAACTAACTAACTAACTAACTAACTAACTAACTAACTACTAACTAACTAACTACTAACTAACTAACTAACTAACTAACTAACTAACTAACTAACTAACTAACTAACTAACTAACTAACTAACTAACTAACTAACTAACTAACTAACTAACTAACTAACTACTAACTAACTAACTACTAACTAACTAACTAACTACTACTAACTAACTAACTAACTAACTAACTAACTAACTACTAACTACTAACTAACTAACTAACTAACTAACTAACTAACTAACTAACTAACTAACTAACTAACTAACTAACTAACTAACTACTAACTAACTAACTAACTAACTAACTAACTAACTAACTAACTAACTAACTACTAACTAACTAACTAACTAACTAACTACTAACTAACTAACTAACTAACTAACTACTAACTAACTAACTAACTAACTAACTAACTAACTAACTAACTAACTACTAACTAACTAACTAACTAACTAACTAACTAACTACTAACTACTAACTAACTAACTAACTACTAACTAACTAACTAACTAACTAACTAACTAACTAACTAACTACTAACTAACAACTAACTAACTAACTAACTAACTAACTAACTAACTAACTAACTAACTAACTAACTAAACTACTAACTAAACTAACTACCTAACTAACTAACTAATAACTAACTAACTAACTAACTAATTAACTAACTAAAACTAAATAAACTAACTAAACTAACTAAACTAAAAACTAACTAACTAACTAACTAAACTAACTAAATAACCTAACTAACTAACTACTACTAACTAACTAACTAACTAACTAACTAACTAACTAAACTAACTAACTAACTAACTAACTAACTAACTACCTAACTAACTGGTTTACTGGCGGGTCCAAACACACAGACTGGTGATACTGGAGCAGGCATTTGTGGTCTTCAATCTTCATGGGAAAATATCCCTCAATCTTTCAGGTGGAAATCTACGCCATCTTCTTCTGTGCTAGAGAGTGCGTGAGGAGAAAGTTAAGGGGTCTGAGAATTTACATAATGTCAGACAGCCGAGCAGCCCTCAAGGCCTTACTTTCGTATGAAGTTAGGTCGGAAAATCCCAAAAGTTGTTACCTACATCAGTTGATAGGACTATCTTTAGGCATTTTAATCAATAATCACCCCATTGGGGTTCTAATCGTGTTGCGTGTCCATTAGGGAGATAACTGTTAACTTTTTTTTGCAAATGTGGAAGTTGGCATGGGAAAGTCGAATAGAACATTAAAAGATATGAAAAACGACGGTATTCTTTTTTCGCGATTATTAAAACAGTTCAGGCACCTAATGTCTGTCTGTCTGTTTTTGGAGGCCCCACATATCTTTGGAATCCCAAGCTTAGATGGTTTCATTAGATAGGATTTTAGGACCTTAGCTGTTTAGCTTTCGATTAGGGTATGTAAAATTTTATATTTGCAAAAAAAAAAAAAAAAAACAGAAAGTCATTACCCTAATGAATGTGCATTTCCACATCGGTGGAAATGCCTGCATTTTAAATAAAAACTATTAAATTTAATGTATTAAAAAAATATAAAATTTTTCATTACTTATACGACGTGGTGGTATATCAAAAATTTCGTAAAATTTTATATCCCTAATGTTAGAAACTAGATTACGAAATCAGTATCAATTAGAAGAGTGTAAAAAAGAACCATTTCCCATAAAATAGAAATTAATTACACATTTTACATCGATTTCTTATGTTTTTGCTAATTTATTTTTATTAATTTTTTAAATTCAGTAATTTCGTACCTATTTCATAAAGTACCAAATATTAAATCCTATGCATATGTTGTATTGTAAATGCATACATACTAATATTGTAAAATTTTCTCCTGCACAATTTACAATTCTCTTCGAATTTTAAACTAACGTTAAGATTTAGATAATGTACATTTAGGTTTGTTACTTAGTTTGTAACAGTTTCGAACTGCTAGCGATTGGAAGACTGGTTTTCAATGGTTTAAATACATATTAAGAACACATGTTTACGTTTTTGTTGTAAGTAGTTTCTTTCCATATTATTTGTTTTATCATAGAAGGGTGTTTAAGATTCGTTTTTGTCAACTTCTACGTCATTATCTACGTCTCATACCCATCCCATAGTTTAACAGTTAAATGCATAGTGTTGTCTTAAATAAACGAAATAATGTGTTTACTTCCGTTGTTTACAATTGTTGACAAACCAAAAGAAACAAAAAAAAAAAACATTTTTATACAAAAAAAAAAAAAAAATCTCATGCCATTATAATGTCTCTTTACAGAACGAAGTCATTGTCCTGTAGCAAGTTGTAATCATTTCTATTGACAAATATTTGTACTTTCAATTAATTGCATTTTCTACAATGCAATTAAATGTTTGTAAGAATGTGTCGATAGGAAGCATTAATTACATTTTAAGGCAATGGACAAAAGATCTTCTTCCAATGACAGACAACAATATACAAGAAGTTGCTGCTGACAATATAATTGCTTTTTTTAGTTTTTGTATTTTGGGAGTAGGAGTTGGAAAAAATATTCAATTAGATTGTTTTATTCTTATCGAACAAGGAATTTTTGAGTATTGAACTTTAATTAACACAAGTTACCAAGTTTATGTGTTATGAAAGCTTAACAAACTATAGTATTATTTCAAACTATAGAGAGTTGTTTGGGAGGTCAACGTTCAGAGTGTCCACAGTCCTAGGGGTTTCGTAGAAAAGAGGTTCAGTTCTAGTTCAGTTCGAGTTCTGTACTAGTTCAGTTCTAGTTTAGATCTAGTTCAGTTCTAGTTCAGTTCTCGTTCAGTTCTAGTTCAGTTCTAGTTCAGTTCTAGTTCAGTTGTAGTTCAGTTCTAGTTCAGTTCTAGTTCAGTCTAGTTCAG